TCTTAGTCTTCTCCTTCGTCGTGGTCTCCTTGCAGGTGCGCGGCGGCTCCTTCCTCCTCAGGTCCGCTATGGCGGACTGTCACCTTCAGCCGCCACCTCTGCTATGGCGCCTCACCCTGCACACGACTTCGCGCATGGGACAGCGGGTACCAGCTCTGATACCACTGCAATCAGACTCGACTCTTTCACACTTTTCATGCACATGAACAGCAGCACAACAAACTGGCGACATGCGCCCACACAGTACACAGAGATATGGCTTCCAGGTAAGTTCACTTCCACTGGCTCTGGTGGCTGAGCGCCCAACATCCACTGTTCACACACCGGATCACCCTGGATATCCCACACACGACACTCTGCACCCTCACGCAACACACACACACACTACTACTGTAGCTATGGCAGCGCTAGCTGCCACTACCCTATCGCTATACTATGCTTCTCTGCCCACTTCGGCTTCGGGCACACTGCAGACCTCCTTGCACAAGACGCTGAGGCAGCACTTCCGCATGGCTTCCGCAGGAATGAATGAATGGCTGTGCGCAGCCTCTTGATTTATACTTCTGTGCCTCGTTGGTCTGCCCTGTTTCCCTGGCCCACGATGTGCACAGTCCCAGACGGTACTTGCTTGACTGGACCGGACTGGCTGGACTGGGACTGCTGACTCTGCGTGGTGGACTTCCACCACTTGCCCACTGGCCTCTACCTAAACTGGGGCTGACTCAGAAAGGCCACTTCTAGAACTATCTGTTTGGCCTTTCGGTACTGTAGCAGCTACGACTCTACCCTTTCAGGTAAGTAGCAGCTACGACTTTGACCCTTCRGAYAGTCTACARCTACGACCTCTGGACTGTCTAGACTCCTACCCGACAGATCTACAGTTCGAATCCCCTATACCATGTAACCTACGAGATCCTACCTACCACTGGCGGTCCTACAGGTCACAGGTTCAAATCTACGGGTTGACACAGGTATTGTACACAGGTAAGGTGGGGGACTAGGGATCGAGCCCTGGGATCTGCATCAGCTACTGCAAACTGGTGAATACCGTTTCAGGAGAGGTGGGGAGTGGGGAAATCGAGTGGATCGCCCAGATAAGGAGCCACTAATCAAAGAATGAAAAGTTGGAACTTTGCAAAAATTTCGAGAAAATAAAAGTATATTAAATAAAAAAATTATCGATTGCAAGTTCGGTAGGTCTCCTATTTTTCCCACAACAGGTAGTTCAAAAAAAAATTCGAAATTTAGACCGCTATGAAAAAAAAAAATAACGAATGGAGATTTTCTGCGAAAAATAAAAAAATTCCGCAGGTTCGGAGAATTCCGAAACATAAAAAAATTCGGAATTTCTCCAGTGAGAGTATGCGCAGTTTGCAAACAAATGACTGAAGAGGAATTTCCCGTAAAAAATAGTTTCCGAATCTGGAGATAACGGTCAAATTTCAAAATTTCCGTTACCCCCGGAATGCGTAAAAACAAATTCGGAAATAAGTTCGAAAAAAAATTCTGGAATTTCGAATCAACGGAAACTGCAAAGGAAAAGATGAATCGAAAAAAAAAAATTGTAATGTTTTCGGACTTCCAGCACTGGAATTTCGAATTTCAAAAGAAAAAGAGAAACGGAAAATCCAGATGCTACGCTATTGCAATTTTTTACAAAAAAATAGCAGGAAAATGAAATCCAAAAGAAAAGAAAAAAAAAAAAAAAACGATTTCGGCAGTTAGGTCGAAAATCTGCGATTTTGGGGACAAATTAGTGAGACCTAATCAATCAATCAATCAATCAATCAATCACTGATTAATGAATCAATCAATGAATCAATCAATCAATCAATCACTGATTAATCAATCAATCAATCAATCAATCAATCAATCAATCAATCAACCAATCACTCTTTGATTGTCCCCACGCTTGTGTCAGATCAGGTTGTCCTGATTCACAACCGGGGCTCCGATACCAAACTGACGCATGCCCACTGGGACAATGCGTAGGGAGCCAAGGATCCGCAATGTGATGAACAAGACTGAAATGGACAATGCAAGGTCAGCGTAGCATCAACAAGCAATGTACATTCCTATACATAGAAGATGGCACAAAGTGGCGCAGTGGAAGACTTAAAGAGAAGATCTGATCTGATCTAGACTGACCCGACATCCATCATACATCACACATGCGAGAGGGGAGGAGGGACCACAATCAGAGAAGAAAGGTCCCTCCGTCACACACATACATGGGGAGATACCACGGATGAGAGATGGGGGGAAGGGACGAGACGAAGGAGAAGGAGGCGAGGGAGCAGACCAAGATCGCGATTGCGGGGTCCCTTGCCAAGTGTCCAATCAATGTCTGTCCCAAAAATGTCGAATCAGATCTTGGGCAATGTGCCCAACATAACCTCTGCCTGTATTCCCTACCGCTGATCTCCCTCACTCTCGTAGATGAAGAAGAAGGTAAGAAAGAGGAGGAAGAAGGAGAAAGGAGAGAGAGAGATGGAGGAGGAAGAAGAAGAAGATGACATCCTCCTTGCTATCTCACCTGCAGGTAGCTGTCACCGTACTGACTGTGGTCGTCGTCGTGTGCAGATACCGCGCGGAGCCCAGCTATGGCACCAGGTAAGTTCGTCGCTTGCAGGTAAGGCCTCCGCCCTCTCTACTACCTACTCCGCTACTCCCTACTCCGTAGCTTGGCGCAGAATAACGCTGCCTCCAACCGGCAGCGTGTCGCTCCAGAAGCGAGCTACTCGAACTGTTTCATGCCCAGCCGCTGCCCAGCTATTTGTAGCGCTGGGCGGGCGGGGCCTACCTGCTGCTGGCCTCAGAAACGGCCCAGCTGGTCTGGGTCCCTACCGGACGTCCAGACCATGCTGCTGATGCAGCAAGGCGCAGAAATGCGCCTGGCCTGAAAATGGCCCGGTACCTGTGCACCTAGCCCAAGGCGTCGCCTTGGGACCTGCAGGACCGAAATGACGCCTGTACCTACCGGTCTGGTGCCAAAATGCGCCTGGCCTCGGTTTGGGCCTGCCTCCAGTGTACCCAGTCCCAAGGTCTGGCCTTGGGGCTGCACGTCCGAAACGGCACCTGAACAGACAAAGTAAGACATCACACACACACAAAAAGGTAAGTAGACTAAACCTATCTAACTAGTGTGCTACCTAGGGCCTGAAGGGCCGCCGTGGGCCTCCAGGGTGCTTGCTGTATGGTACGCGGCCTGGGGGCCCCTCAGCAACCGTCGGGCCCCTCAAATGGGGCCCGTGTGCAGGCGCAGCATGCAACATGCGGCCTGCTGACGTGCTGCCTCTGCCTCTGCCAGCTGGCATTGAATTTCCTGCTGGCGCGCAGCTTCCTCCTCTTCCCACTTGCTCAGTTCAGCTGCCGTGGTTTCCAAGTAGAGCTGGAGACGTTTGAGAAACGCTAGAAGCGGTTCATCGGCCTGCTGAACTGGGATAGGAGGGGTAACCGGCCTCTTGGGGCTGGCTTGATCATTAGCGTCAGCGGTAGTCTGCATGGGATCCGAGGGGTCTTAGGTCCCTGTCGAGGCTTGGCTCCTGCGGATCCGTGCTCAGCAAGCCGTTGGCTGCGGCGCATCAAGTACTCTGGTCTTCGCCGGCTGCTGAC